AGATTGCAAAAGATGCTAAAATTGGAAGATTCTCTGTTAGGAAAGTATGTCGTGGGAAGAAGGCCAAGAGTGTGGCTGGAAAACCTTTTGCTGCTGCTGAGGAAATTAGATGTGTGACTCATGGATCTCCTCAACCATCTCAGAGAAGCCAGGAATAGAGATGAGATTATCCAGGAAAGATCTGTGGAGGACCCTCTGTCTAATGGCATGAATCCTGTGACATATACAGGAGACACCCAAGGTTTTTGATAATGTTATATCAGCAGAAATACCACCAGCTTGGAATGAAAGGGACAGAGATAGGATGAAATGAAGGAAGGCTGTTGGATTCTTAAAATTTTATAGGCAGGAAACAGGGTGGTAAAACTACTCATCTGCAAACATGTTCTACTTTTCAAAACAATGGAAGAATGACTCTGAGGATGGAGACTTGGGCCCAGAGGTTGGAGCCATGAACTACAGAGGATTATTCCCAGTTCTTGAAACCTAATGGAATTTGCTTTGCTGGATTTTGAAATTGCCTGGAACTGTTGACTTCTCCCTCCCTCTCTCCCTTCCTTTTATCTCTTCTTGAATGCAAGTGTCTGTAACTGTTATCCTATGCCTATCCCACTGTTGTTTTTTGGAAGCAGATAACACAAGTCCACAGATGGAGAGGAATTTTGCCCCAGCATGGATCATAACCAATCTCTCCCCTATTCATGATTTAGATGATTAGATTTGGGACTTTTGAGCTGATGAGATGTAGACGAGGGTTTAGACTTTGAGTTGATCTGTAATCTGTAATTAGGGGAAGCTGGGATATGATGAATATATTTTGCGTGTGGGAAGGACGTGAATCTTTGGGGCCAAAAAGTGGACTGTCGTAGGCTGAATAATGCCCTTCCCCCAAAAAGCATATCCAGGACCTCATTCCTGGAACTTATGGAAGTTATCTTTTATAGAAAAAAGGACTTGAAGATATGAATAAGTTAAGGATCTTGAGATGGGGAAATTATTCTGTACTATCTAAGTGAGCCCTAAATGCAATCACAAGAATCCTTATAAGAATGAGGCAGAGGGAGATAAGACAGAAGAGGAGAAGGCAGTGTGACCACGGAGTTGGAGATTAGAGTGATGCATCCATAGCCAGTGAATGCCAACAGCCGCTAGAAGCTGGAGGAGGCAAGGAGTGGATTCTTCCCTAGAGCCTCTGGAGAGAGCGCAGCCTGGCTGACTGACACCTTGATTTTGGCCCAATGATACTGATTTTGGACTTCTTGCCTCCAGAACTATGAAAGGATACATTTCTGTTGTTTTAAGTGGCTAAGTGTGTGGTAACACACTTGTTGCAACAGCCATAGAAAACTAATCCAGAAATAGCGGGAAATCAAATGGCTTCTGCTTATTTGTGTACTCTTGTATTCTGTCTGAATATTACACCTACTGATGGTTACTATTAGACTTCTGTGACCATCAGTCTTTTATATTTGAAACTTTTACCATTCTTTTTATTTTAAAACAGTAACCTTTATTTTAAGCATTATAGTATTATATAAACTGAAAATGCTGGTAAATAAGCAGATGGCTTGACTTCTGCTCTAAGCTATGCTACTTACTAACCAGCTGGGTATCTCTGGGTGAATCACTTGCCCAATCTGAGTTTCAGTTGAACAATGGGAATAATATTAACTGTCCTTCCTAATCCACACAATTGTTATGAGGATTTAATGATGTAAATATATGTGAAAAATACCAGATAATGTAAATGTAAGTTTCTGTAATGCTCAACTATTAATTATGCTCCCTCAAGCTATATCAGAGTTGTGATGAGCAATTTTGCACATAAATCACTGAACACATTAAACATTTTTCCCCCTTAGATTAGATTAGATTCTAGAAGTGGAATTTTGGGATCAAAATTTTGAACACTTTAAAGCTCTTGATACATTTTGACATATTTCTCTCTAGAAAGCCTGCACCACTTTACTCTCTCCTTGGAATCACATGAGTGCTCATTTTATTGCACGGTTATCTTAAAGAGTTTTTAGAAAGTATTTTAAATGTCATGCCAACTTGATGAAAATTATTTGTATTTCTTTGGCGAGGCTTAAGTTTTTTCATATATCCCTTGGCCATTTGTATAGTTCTTTAATGAATTGCTTGTGTTCTTTGACAGTATTTTGAATACAGTAGTGTCCCCCCTTGTTCATAATTTTGCTTTCTGCAGTTTCAGTCACCCGAGGTCAACCGCAGTCTGAAAATATTAGATGGAAAATTCTCGAAATAAACAATTCATAAGTTTTAAATTGTACACAGTTCTGAGTAGTGTAATGAAATCTCACCCTATCTAGCTCTGTCATTCACCTCACTTCTCATCATGTAGGCATTGTATCATTTAACATCATCACAGGCTGAATACAGTACGATAAGATATTTTGAGAGAGAGAGAGAGACCACATTTACCTAACTTTTATTACAGTATATTGATATAATTCTATTTTATTATTGTTATTAATCTCTTACTGTGCCTAATTAAAAATTAAACTTTATCATAGATATGTATGTATAGGAAAAAACATAGTATGTATAGGGTTCGGTACTATCCGTGGTTTCAGGCACCCACTGGGGGTCTTGGAACGTATCCCTGGTGGATAAGAGGGACTACTGTAATTATTTGTCATTTTCCTTATTGATTTTTATTTTATTTTATTTTTTTTGTGAGGAGATCAGCCCTGCGCTAACATCTGCCAATCCTCCTCTTTTTTTTGCTGAGGAAGACTGGCCCTGGGCTAACATCCGTGCCCATCTTCCTCCACTTTATATGGGACGCTGCCACAGCATAGCTTGCCAAGCAGTGCATCGGTGCGCGCCTGGGATCCGAACCGGCGAACCCCGGGTCGCCACAGCGGAGTGCGTGCACTTAACAGCTTGCACCACCAGGCTGGCCCCCTTATTGATTTTTAGAAACCCGGTATTCTTAAGTTAATTAACCTTTGTTGTGTGTTGATTCTTCACCAGTTTGTTTGTTGTTTGCCTTTTCCTTTTTTTGAGGAAGATCAGCCCTGAGCTAACATCCATGGCAATCCTCCTCTTTTTTTGCTGAGGAAGACTGGCCCTGGGCTAACATCTGTGCCCATCTTCTTCCACTTTATATGGGATGCCGCCACAGCATGGCTTGCCAAGCGGTGCATGGGTATGTGCCCGGGATCCGAACCCCAGCCGCAGCAGTGGAGTCCTCGCACTTAACCACTACGTCACTGGGCTGGCCTTGTGCCTTTTACTTTTATTTGTGATGACTTTTGATGTACCGGTGCTTAACATATGTATGTACTCAAATTTCATGACCTTTTATTGTTTTCCTTGTTTCCTTCCTCCGTCCTCCCATCTTTCCCTCTGGAAAACCTTCCCATTTGGCTGCTTTTATTGATTTTTTTAGGTATGTAGATTTGTCCTTAATTGGCAGTAAAGCATACTTGAAATCCAGGCTCTTGTCAAATAACTTAATTTCAAATTGTCTGTTTCCAAACTTTTGTCTAAAATTTGAGTGGAAAAAATATTCAGAGATAATTGCCTGAAAGATATACTAAATTTTATTTCTGGAGGATAGTCTGAATGCAGCATAAAGACCTTTGCTTCCAGCCTGATAATTCCACCTTCTCTAGCTCACAGTTCCTTCTCATTTTATCCTGAGTATATACAGAAATTGAAGTAGGTGAAACAAAGACTGAGGTAGTTCGTGCCTGCCCATATCACCTCTAGCTGCTTCCTCTATATCATCCTCTCTACTCCCATTGTCCTTAATAAGGATAATAATTCTACCATTAAACCAAATGCTAACTCAGTGTAGCCTAACCTGCCTAACATTTTATATGCATCACCTCAATTTCCACAACAACCGTACAAGATAGGAAATATTATTCTAATTTTATCAATGAAAAAACAGATGTTTCAAGAGGTAAAGTGGCTTGACCAATATCACATCCACTGTACATGGAGGAATGGGATGTGAATTCAAACCCAGACCTTTCTGATTCCAGAACCCATCTCTTAACTGGGATTCTTTCCATGTCCACACACACACACACACACACACACACACACACACACACGTACCTCCTTCCCTGCCACACTTGATTTCCCAGTGATGATGTGATGATATTTCTCTTCTCTCCTGTCATTGATACAGTAAGGGAAACAAACAGAGTAGATGAAGCAGAATAGCAACGTCCAAGGTATTGAACTGAATAAATAGGATATTGAACTGAAAATAATTTGAGGTAGATCTAGAATTTCTTCCATTCTTAAAATCCTCCAATGACGTTTTATCCTCGTTCCTCTCTGTTCAAGCATCTCACATGTGTAATGAGCTCTGACCAAAGGACGTTACTGTGAAAATTTCAAAGCAACCAAAGGCCAGAGACAAGTGGGTTGGTCTTAATTTGGCTATTGTAATAAATGTCTGTTTTACAGTCTGTAATTGAGGGCAGCCTGCTGTGGTGGGTATGTATTGAGCCTGGGAGAGCTGCTGAAGAATACTGGTGGTCTTTTACTAGTAGTTGGATGATTAATTATTATACCTTCTGTTAAATTTTAAACAGTGAGAATTAGGTCAATGGGAATGATTCCCTTCTTTCTTTCTTTGAAAAACCTGAGACAGTGACAGCATTCAATTTTCTGGTGTTATTTTGCTCTTATATCTATCAATTATTTAGAGCTTTAAAAATCTGCAAAAGAAACAGAGAAGTGTGCTGTAGCCTTTTTGGTGGCTGAGATCAATGGTCACACCTCGAGAGCATCGACTGTCCTGTCCTTCTTCATATTCTCTGTGCCACCTCAGTGCCTGGCCATATACGTTTTTGATCAAAAACTGCTTGGTGTGGACGGAGTAGGGGAAGAATGAGAGTCAATCAGAGAGTACAGTTTGGAATCAGGCTTGCAGGCACGTTTGGGGGTGAGAAAGCTCAATTGTCCTATGAAAATTGGCTCTAACAAAGGCTTGTTTTTGTGATTATTTGCAGAAAGATTACCACTTTGAATATACAGAATGTGATAGCAGTGGCTCCAGGTGGCGAGTTGCCATTCCGAATTCTGCGGTGGACTGCTCTGGCCTGCCTGACCCAGTGAGAGGCAAAGAATGCAGTATGTTTGACTTTTTGACTATTTGTTTTCCCCATTAAACTGTAACCCCTTCATATTAATCCAAGAAGTTAATTATAATGAATATAAGAGACCTTCGAAAAAATGAACACATAGCATTAATGTGTAGTAGAACAAAAGCATCCTTTTTCAACAGTCAGTGCCCCTGTGTCTGACATCTGTAGTGAGAGAGACATAGGCAATATTAAGGGATATTATTTAAATTTATTTATTAAAAAAAATCTGGTGTACTGTCTTACTTGAAACTCTGGAGGGCAAAGTGGCAGAATTTCTCTTTAATAGATTTCTTTTTTCCTTTAAATTTTTAAAAAGTTAAAAAAATTTGGTAAAATGCACATAACGTAAAATATACCATCTTAACCATTTTTAAGTATGCTGCTCAGTGTGGCATTAAGTATGTTCACCAATATCCATCCATAGAACTCTTTCATCCAGCAATGAATTTATTTTTTTTAGCCATAGAAATAATGTAATTTGCCTTTTTAGTGTAACCTATAGAGTGATTGTAGAATTGATGAATATCAAGTCAACAGCTTGCCTTTTAGCAATTAAGCAGATTTGAAGTGCAGCATTATGAATTAACAGAGAAATATGTCATTAAATTGATTTTACTTTATAAACTCTACTTTTTTAAGTACTTTAATTTGATGAGTCACAGCTTCCTGTAGTGAAGTAATCTAGGGCTGTACTAGAGTTCAAAGCTGGAAGTAAGACAAAGAGAGGTTATTTTGATTTTCCCTACAGTCTTTCAAATGATATTCCTCAAAGCTTGGTTCTTCTGTTCCCAAATGAAGGAGTAGATAGGCAGATTATTAAATGATAGTTAATTCCTTCCTATTCATAGGGAGAATGTGTCTCTGTTACTGACTGGAGGAGTATTAGCATAGGTGGTGGGTTTACTGATAAAAGAGATGGGAAGACAGCAATAGTCTTATGGGGAAAATTAGGGAAGAAAACCTTCATTTCTTGGTGAATGATATTAAATGAATACAGAGAGAACCTGAGAACCTCTGTAGCCTGGTGAAGACTTCAGTTTAGCAAGAGTCTTAAGAGCATAGTGGAGTCAGTATAGAAGAAGATGATAGAAGGCTGAGGGGTATGCCACCGCCTGTGCGGAGAGAGGATCAGCTCTCAGTGAGGGAGGATTGTGGTTAAAAGGGAAACAGCATGAATAATACCTATGTTATTAGCCCATTGTAAAATTGCTTCAGTCACTTTCCTAGAAAATCTGTATATTATTTATCTATATATACTTTTTACTTGTGGGCTAATTCCTCGGTTCCCTTGTAAACAACCCTACTGAGGTGGACTACCTAACCATTACCAATACTACTCTGTATCTAGGTGATGTGCTGATGCTGGCTAGCGTTGCCTTTTGAGAGGTGATTGTTTGAAACAGGCCATGGTGGAGTGTTTTACACTATGGCAGTGGGCAAACACTGCAAATTGGGCGCCTTCCTTCCCTTGGGAGCTGGTTGTTAAACATTTAGCAGCACACCACTGATTAAATTTATTGGCCAAAGGTTCAAAAATCTGTTACAGAATTGATGCCTTAATAGGAGTTATTTCTATTTGAATGTTGCCAGGGACATTTTTTGCTCATTCTTTATTATAATTTTCCACATATAATGTTATGAATCTGATACTCCACTAGAACTTTTCTAAAAAATCTGACTGGTAGTCAAATCACTATTAGTTATTACTTTGATACTACTTATTTTAAAAATGATACTTTAAAAATGACAAGACTTATGTGATGGCTGGGCATTTTTTATCTTGGCATTTTATATAAAACCTGAATTTGCAAATATTTCTGCATAATATACTTAAATCTACTCTAGAAACTGTTAGTCTGGCCTCCAATATGTGACTTTTTCTTTGCATGGTAAAGGCAAGTTGTTTTAAAACTCACAAGAAACTTAATATATCTAAGTAACTTAGAAGCTCAGTTAATTCATAACATTAAACGTGGTGCTTACCACGTTACTAGTCATTAAAGTACTGCAGAAGGCAGTTATGGTAATAACTGAATATTTCTTCAGTGGCTTAGATTTTCTATTGCTAATAATAGCTGCCATTTCTCACATCCTGATTATACGCTAAACATTGTGCTTAGAGCTTTATATAATTCTCCCATTGTATCCTTATAACAACCCTCTCTGATAGCTACTATCAGTGTTTCCATTTTATTGAAGAGAAAACTTAAAGTGGTGAAGTACCTTATCACAGGTCATATAGCCAGGATATGGCAGATCTGGGATTCAAATGCAGACATGTCTGATTCCAGAGCCTGTCTTTTATCTACTGAGTTAGACTGCCACTTAAAGATGGCAGTCTGGAGGAGCTTACAGGGCCACATGTGGGGTATGTAAAGCTCTGTTGGTGGACATCTTCAAGGGAAGATTTTAGAAACTCTTGTGCTTCAAGGATAAAAGTGTTGTGGTTCAGGAATGGCATGCTACTTGCAAGCTGTGCCTGAGTGATGCCAAGTTCTTGGATGGTGGCTGATGCCCACAGATGCTAGACTCAGCAGTTATGCCATAATAATATGGCCCAACAGTTGGACCATATAGAAATAGAAAATAAAAAAGTGGAACGTGGCAACTTCAAGTGAGTGAAGAATATTTAGGGCAATGGTTGTGTGGGGCATAATTTCCCCATATCCTAATGTCTCTAAATGAAGTCAAACCCAGAATGTGGCCTCAATTGAGACTGCTATAGATTCTTCAAAATGTAATTGGGTAGATCTTTTCCTCTTTCTCAAAAAGAAGCCATAGAGGCCTTTTCTTAGGAAGGGGATTATAGGAATGTTCAGGTAGCAGTTGAAAATTTTTCAGAAAATCGATAGGCAAGCTATATTATATACCTTTATTAAAAAATAATATAAAATGTGGCTGCAAGTCTCTTCTAAGTGAAGTTAATGAGCAGTCAAGTATCAGTTTTTGTTGTGCTAGAACCCTGGGGTGTATGTGAGCTTGAAGCTTACAGGGCTCAGCAAGTGAGATTGGGAGCCCTCTGGTTATTAACTGACACTAATCCCCCTTGTCTTCCTGTCCCCTCTGCTCTGGAGAGCTCCTCAGTCTCCTAGGCAGTACTATTCTGGGCAAGCCACTGAGATGACGTCATATCTCTCCTTCTCTCTGCTAGCTATAGGGAGCTTTGCCGCTTCTCCCAAGCCCTGGTGCCAAGAGTCTTGTGTCTGTGGGCATCACTCACCATCTGAGGTCTTGGCATCACTCAGGCATAGCTTGCAAGTAGCATGCCATTCTTGAACCACAACACTCCTTATCTTCTCTCAGAATAAGATGATATAACCCCTGTCTCAACTTTGTCCCTTCTCCACTGTTGGGTCACTTCTCTTTTGCACAAGAGTTTCTAAAATCTGCCCTTGCCTTCTGGGGTCCCCTTGACATTCTTAGATCATGAAAAACAATAGTCATTTGGAATGGTTGCTTGGGTGGGATACCTTCTCTCTCTCTCACTCACTGGAGAAAAGGACATTTTGTTTCAAATCAAGCCTTAGAAATAAAAGCCTTGCTATTGGAAGTGGAGGGAATTCCTTTGCTTATTTCCTTACGGATTTTCAGACAAGTCTAGAGCACTGAAGGGGAAATAAACAGAGCAAGTTACCGCTTCCTTTTGGGAGTATCTTCTGTTGCTTACTCCTTCAAATATTACTCAGTCCATGACTTCAAGTACAACCTTAACACATCATTTCTAATTGGGGATGACTATTTAAGACATCTGTAATTCCATTTGGTGTTTTAGCATCAAATCAGTCATAGTCTCGTGGACGTTGTTTAATCTTATATTTCAGTATTTATATAAACTTCTAATATTTGATTTTCTTGACTCAAAAAGTACTGTGTTCAAATTAGAAAAAAACCCTTGAATACAAAATTGTTTTTTTTTTTGTTTCTCCTAGATCTATATTGTTATATATTTATATATGCAGAGTAAATCATGACAGTTTGAGTCAACTGCTTTTGATTCCAGTTTAGAAGTAAAAGAAGAAAGATTCTCCTGGAAAGAGTTGGTTTTAGCTTTCTGAGGGGGATATTTAAAAATCCATTTCTTGGCATCATAGCTTTTTCAAGTGTAGGCTTTTCCCCAGGATTCAATACCTAGTCTGTTTCAGTTGTATTAAGATTTGGTATTGGTACAGCAGCAACTGCAGTTGGGCAAATTGAGGCTGTTGCCACTGAATGGCACTCGCATGTCACACTCTAAGTCTGTGCCATGGAATACTAATCTTAAGAAATGCTTCTCGTAAACAAAAAAGTGTGTTGGGGTTTTCTGTGGTGAAATACTGGTAAATTTGGAAAATGGTGAAAGCTATATTCCCTTCATGGAGGGATGTAGTGCACATTTTACGTTAAAGTCTTTGAGAAACGTGATAAATCGTTTATAGAACATTTACTGTGTGTTAAGTGCACCCTGTTTTACCCAGAGTCTCCCAAGTGTATTTGATGATAAGACTGATTTAATGTGTAGTTGGACCCCTTAGGCTAATTTCCGCAGGTACTATTTTTGGAAAACACAGATTTAAACACACATGTCTGACTAACTTAGTAAAATTTTATATGGTGTTACTTATACTATGATTTAACTAATTTCATGAAGTTTCTTTGATCTGCAAGGTTCAGTTGCAGCATTACTGCATTGGTGTCCCATTGAAGACCTCCCATGGTTGGTGTGGAATACACCTGGGATTAAACCCCAGATCTGCAACTAACTTGAATATCTTGGGCAAAATATTTAGTCCACAGCTATTTATTGAGCTTTAATTCATTCACTGAGGAAACATTTATTATTTCCTATATTCTTGACAGTAGGGATCCAAAAATAAATGAAAAAAAAGATTCCTGTTTTAAGGACCTTTCATTCTAATAAGGGAAGAGCTGGGTGAATAAATTGTTTATCATATAGGGGCAAAATGCATGATAAATATAAATACCAAAGCTGATCTTACCAAGGAGGGA